TATTTTTCATACATAAGAGGAGTCTATCCACCACAAAAATAAGGCATTCAAAGATTTTTCCAGAATGTTTTGATTTTATGATTTTATTAAATACAGGTAGTAATTTTTTCCCAGCCCAAGTCTTTAGCAAATACGTGTGTAACCATCACTAAGAGTCAGTTAATACTATTTTGGTTTCCTTTGTGACATGAATAACTTTGATCTAAAACAAGGGAGTCAGTGGAGAAAGTTTAATACTCTTTCGACATTGGTAGTAAGTAAACGTTCTCTCAAACCTGACGTCTCAATTTCCATTGGAACCTGGGGGCTTTGCTCCATACATCTTATAAGCCACATGATGCATTTTTAACTCCAGCCTGCATTACCCCAAGATCTAAGTTCTTCTCTCACCCTGTCTGAGCCACTTACTGTGGTAGGAACTTCCTTTGTGGCTTCCTGGTACACATGTTGCTCCTCGACCAAGTTGCTGGGGAAATAGCCCACTGTTCCCATCTCGTCCTCCTGGTGATCGCCATACACCTGAGTGCCCAGAAGCATTAACAGTCAGGGGAAAGCTGATCTGAGTCCTCTTCAAGAAACCCTCAGGCATCCTCTCTGCTGTTAATGAGAATTACATAACTGCGAATGGCTCGCTTTCTAGTCCAGATTCAGGGGGCACAGTCCCAAATTTGAAGTTCACTTACAGCAAGTAAGTCAACTCACAGAAATTGCATACCTATTCTTTTGTGGCCCAGTCTTACTGATCTCACTTCAGCTTAGCATTCCATTATATTGTGCAATCCTGTGAGCTGCCCGAAATATTTTTGGAACCATAAAGTCAGTAATTTTCTATTAAAAAAATAGACACTTTTAAAGAACGGATATTTCTCAGTTTTTAAAAATTTAAATGAACAGATACTTGAGTGAATTTAAGATTTAACTCTTTGTTACTTGAGAATCTATCTGTGGGGCTGCAGGTGAGAACAATAAATCAATCCCGCTTCAGCTCTCCCCAGAGTCCACGCCTGCACATTTTAACTAAATCAAGCAGATTCTTTGAAATTAAAGAGGGTGCTAAAGTTTCTTTTAAAATATTGAAATGTAGACCGACTGCCAACACACATGCCTTTATCTGGCAAATCTGCTCAAGCTGTTTTGAGTCAGTTTCAAACTTTTGGGGATGTTCAAGTTCCCATGATTTTTCTGATTTTTCTTGTCAAAACATTACATAAACCTACATTTGGTTTTGTTATGAAATTTTTGTTGTGTTTCTTCAAAATGCAATAAAAGCAAATATACATGAATTTTTGCACTTTCATCTACCATCTCTACATTGTCCTTAACAGCTGGATTTAAACATTAAAATGAATTGAAGATAAGTAATAGAGAAAAAATTAAGAGCAACATATGTCAAGATGTGTGTATATTTTTAATAATCTCATCTTACACTGCCAGCCCAAAATTCTCCAGCTTCATTTTCTTTTACCAGTTTTGAGTAAACATAGATCTGCTGCCCTTTTTTAACGTTAATGAATCTACAGTCTGGGGCATTATAATCTTCTTGAGCTTTGGCCAGAGAAATAGTATCTGGAAGAAAAAACACACACACACACACACATTGAATGACTACCATTTAGGCTCCTGGATTTTAAAACAGTAAAAAGGCAAAGTATGATCAGAAAACTAGGAAATTAGAGTGATAATACCTCCCCACTTACAGCTTGTGTTCAGTTAAAGAAGACTAAGAAATTCAAAGCATTAACCTACATCTAACAGAATCTTAGCCAAGGTGAATTCTCCATTGTAAGACTACAGAGGTACAGACCAGGAGAAACAATGCTAACACATATACATTAGAGAAGATTCACTTCAAAGAACAATTCGATTTTATGCTGTTAGCAGATGGGTTTTTCAGTTATTTAATAGAAAGATGATAATAAAAGGCATAAAAAAGTCCTTACAGACACACTCGTCATCTGCACAGAGCTTCTTGGAAGCAAGTCTGTCCATAAATATTCCATGCACCTCACCTACGGCCACAAGACCTGCAAGAAAAAGTAACAAGAGTCTTGCCATCTTCCTTTTTGCTGTTTATACTATCACCCTTTGAGGGGAAGTGGAAGCTGACTTCAGTAGTTCCTGTCTTTTATGTGTAGCCAGACATCTGGATAAATCCCCCCAGCCAATGGGAAGGTGCCTACTGCTCCTCTGCTTTCATAACAGCTACTTGGCTGCAGGGCTATTTAGCATCTGATTTTCCAAAGAGACTCAAACTCTATGTCTTTTGTATACACAAATGATTTCCAAATGATCCACCATTGTTGAAGCCACTTTAGCTGTGGTTTATTGCATTGGTAGGGCATTGTTGAAAGAACTGAGAATTTTAAATCTTTAAAACAATTTTTAATTTCAACTCTCATATTCTTTCAACTTAAATATCTGGATTTATTTAATAGATAAAGGATACTAAAGTTTACAGATCATTCATGACAGAATTTTTAGTAATCATCTTAGAGCAGACATGGATTGTAACACACTAGTTGTCACATTCAGACCCTACTAATGGGGAATGGAAAGGATAGGTGGGTTGAAAAAAATGGAAAAAATTTTTCTCCACCTCCTTCATCTGAGGCTTTTGAAATTTGGTCTCAAAATTCTCATGGATTATGGATCATAGGAAAGGGAGTAAAGCTCGAGGTTTGTGTTACCACCCCCACCCCTTTCTTGCTCCCAGGCATCTTTCCCATGGAAAGTGTGGCACTGCTAGAAACCACCGAAGTTGAAGCACTAATACCTGGCTCCGTCTATTTAACAAATATTTATCGAATACCTACTATGTGCCAGACACCATTCTAGGCATGAGAAATATAGTGTAGTGACCTCACCTTTAGAAACAATAGGTTAAGGATAAGACATGGTACGTGCTAACCGCCATGTCTCACTTCTAGTTAGTTATCTGCTAAAAATTTATTAACTAGAGGGATTTACTGGCCGGATCACTGCCTATAGGTACAAAATATTTTAACAATGACGCATTCTGCTTCTGTACCCCTGCTTGCTTACCCACCTCTTAGTTATCGGTTAATGAATGGAGGAGATATAGTCTTTTGTGTAAAAATTAAGGATGTGGGAGATGGAATCGAGGGCTTAAAACCTTTGTGCCCCTGCGTCTCGGGGCTGCTCCTTGGCAAGGACAGCCGCCGGCTAATAAACTGTCTCTTGGATTAGAGCACTCGAGTTGGGCCTGGTTATTTCGGTCACAACAATAGCAGTTAATAATAATAATTTTTTAAAAAAAGGCTCTGGTCCCAAGGATTTAATTTCTATTAGAAGAGACAGACAATAGATTGCTGCTTTCTATAGCGTTTGGGGCTGGCGTCTCTCTCATAAGGTGCCCTTCCCTCACTGTTTCTAAAACAGAGATCAGGATGCCCTGGCCAACTTGGTGGACAAGGTTTCAGAGCAGTGCCTCTTCCTTCCTCCCCACAAATGCAGTCACCACACAAAATCGGGGTCAAGCATTTGACTAACAAAATAATTTTATGCAAAATGGTTTCCCAGAGACTGGTAAAGCACAATATACTTATAGTATAATTAAAAAATTTGGTTGATTTGTGAGTGTGTGTAATAAAATTTTGTTTGTGGGGCGGGTAAAGGGTGCTTTTTTCAGGGGAAGTTCTCGTATACAGCTCACCCTAATTTGGAAGCTTCTATAATTCCATATCTTCATCATAGATGAGGGAACTGAGGCCCAGCAATGGCCAGAGCTGCCTTTCTTAACCACCCAATCTAAAAGTTACCCAGTAGGATTGTGGTTCAGTGCTGCTTCCATTCATGTGCTGTCAAATTAGAATTGGGATTTTAAATCCTTTATTTTCTGCTTCACTTCAAGGAAAGGATGAATTAGAAATCATTTTGAAAGCAGAATGTCAGTGAATTTTCTTTCCTATAATATACGATCCTAAGAGGATCTCTGGAAAAAGTAAAGTATTAATTAAGTCTTCTTAATCCTGATGGGGCAGCTGTTTAGAGACTGTTACAGTCTCAGGCCAGCCTTCAACACAGAACTAAAAGACAATTGCCATTTAAGAGGCACTTTAAGAAATGCAGACAGCACAAACTCAGGTTACCACACGGTATACAGGCTCCCCAAAGCAGAGTGAAACATTTAATAAAGCCACATTCAAGCCCTCACTAGAACTCAGCAAAGTAAGGCTGATGCTAACACAAAGTCACCTTTGGTGATTCAAAGGTGAAGTAAAGGAGAGATGTCAAGCCTTCTGAGCTCATTTTGGGCAGGCCTGTAATGTCCTAGAATTCTGCAGTGGGCAAAGGTAGGATGGACACAAGAGGCCTCTTTGTAAAATTTTACTTGCAAATAGGAACTTAAACTTGCAATAATTCAGCAAGCAGTTGTGCCAGGCAGCTATGCTCAAGCCCCTGCTGATCTGGGAGTCCAGAGAAGGGCTCTGTCCTGAGCTTGCATACCTCCTTTTTTTGGATCTTTGGATGTGTTCTTTGAGCCTTTCATCTCCCAAAGACATTTTTTTTCCTTACGTTCCTAAATTAGCATCTCCATCTGGAGTTCTTAAAAAGGAGGCTGTGACTCCCTTAAGGTCTAAAAAGAGGTTGGGCAAGGGGGAAGGGTGGAAGCAGCCTCTTTGCCATTACATACAAGGCCCTCCATGATCTGGCCTCTCTGCCCCTCCTGTTGCTCCCTCCCTCCCTCTCTTCTTGTCATACCAGCTGCTGTCTTTTGAAAATCCTGAGCTCATTTCCACTTCAGGCCCTTTGAGCTTATTGCCTGAGATGCTTTCCCTCCAGATGCTGTCATTTAGCTCTCTGGCCAAGATGTCTCCACAGACAGACGAGTTTACCAGACCACTCCCTGCATTCCAATCCATTCATCACATGGCCATGGTATGCTGTCCTAACACATGTATCCCTATGTGACATGCCTTATTGTCCATGGTAGTGTTTTGTCCTCCAACACTACAATCAAAGCTCTACGAAGTGGGGATCTTGTCTATTTTGTTCATCACTCTACAATTAGCACCCAGAAAAAATACTCATAAAGTACTCATTGAATAAACACGATTCTTCTGAAATTGTATGCTTAGGTGTATACATAGGCAAAGAAGAGTCCCTAGGTTTTATAACATTTAAAAAGAGACTTATACCTTGCCAATTAAGACTCACTAAATTACTGGGGCAGAGACTCAGGGGTCTTGCCACCGAAGCGTGGTTCCCAGACCAGCAACTTTGGCATCACTTCATAGTCTCTCAGACCTCACCCCATACCTGCCAAATCTGAATCTACATTTTAACAAGATATACAAGTGATTCATAGGAACATTAAAGTTTGAGATGTATTGCTTGAGGGCAAATCAAATTAAGCAAAATTTTTAGCCAAGATTCCACATTCTTCCTTAGGTCTTTGAGGGAAACATTTTCAAAGAATAAAATGCTCATTACCCAAACAGAAAATATTGTAAGCCTTAAAGTTTAAAATGGAGATGTGAGCCTCTCACGATGGTTTCCACTTTTACTCTATCTTCTATTTACCAATATACTGCCTTTGAAAAAGTTTTTTTTTAATGCATCTTTTTCATACTATATATAATTTTTTAAAACTTTTATTATTTCCCCCTCTCTCCTTTCCCCTCCCTTCTGGTAACCACTAGTCCATTGTCCATGTCCATGCGTCTGTTTGTCCTGTTCAATTGTTGCTTTTAGGTTTATATCTCACATATAAATGATATCATGTGATTTTCAACCTTTTCTGTCTGGCTTATGAAAAACACAATTTGAAGTAATGATCTAATCATTATAATCTACTTCATAAAGGTAGAAATCTGCTTTCTTAACCTTGGCTCACGTTGGAATCACCAGAGATATTAAAAAATACTGATGACTGGGTTTCACCCCTAAGGTTGGGATTTAATTGATGTAGGGTATAGATTAGGCATGAGTGTTTGTTAATGTTTCCTAGAAAATTCTAATATGCAGCCAATTTGAAAGTTAAATTCAAAGTTGAGAACCACTAGATTAGACAGATAGCAACATCTGCTCTCTCCACTCTTAGCAACTCCCACTGATGGGTAAAATAAAGGTCAGAAGATGCTAGTCTGATCAAAGCTTCAAAGTGTAGTTAGCTCCTTTTTCCTTCTCTTCTTCCCACTTGAAGCCTCACTTTCTAAAGTTTGGTTACATACAGGGAGATTTGAGCAAGTAAATATATTTGCTGTTAATGGGACTGGTGGAAGAGTTGTAAATAAGGGGAAAGGCTAGAGAAAAAGTGCTGTTGGATTGCAATTAGAGGTACTGTTGTAAGTTTTTAATTGTATAGATATGTCCAGATATGTAGATGCAAGTATCTCTATATAAAATTAAGATCATGAAAGATAAGGACAGGCTGAGGAACTGACAGAAGACTAAAGAGAAATGACAACTACATGCAGTAGATGAGCCTAAATTGGTTTCTTGGGCCATTATTGGGACATCAACAAAATCTGAATTGGAAAATATTGGATTAATGTTATTTCCTAATTTTGCTGGTCATATTGTAATTATGTGAGAAATACACACTAAAGTATTAACGGGTAATGAAGAATCAGGTCAACACTCTGAAATGGTTCAGAAACATTTTGGGAGCTCTATGTACTATTTCTGAAATTTTGCTATCAATTGTAAATATTACCAATAAAAAACTTCCAAAAGTAAATCAGATGTCATTCCTCTGCTCAAAATCTTCTAACAGAACATATACCCACATAGTCTTATTTGTGAATGTTCCTAGCCACTTTATCTTTAACAGCCGCAAGCTGGAAAGAACCCAAATGCCCATCCACTGACAGAACAAACTGCTGGTGCATGCAATAGAGATGAACCTCAAAGCATTCTAGACAGGACACAACTGTAATGACAGAAAGCCAATCAGTGGTTGCCTAAGGCTGGGGATAGGGAGAAGACTGACTACAAAGGGGCACAAAGGCAGGTCTGAGGGGTGATGGAATACTCTACATCTCGAGTATGATTATTGTGTGACTATATCCAACTGCCAAAGCTCATCAATTTGAACACTAAAATGGGTGAATTTTACTGTACATAAGCAACTCAGTTTTACAAATCATCTAATGGTTCCTCATTTCAGATTATAAGCAAGTCCTTAAAAAGGCCAAAACAATCCGCTCCTCCTACCCTCCCTGATCCTTCCTCTCATCCCACTCCAGCCACACCATGACCTTTCTACTTCCTTTCATTCAGCCATGCAAAGGGGGCCAGTCTGTGAAATATTTTGTTGAGACAAGCTGAGAACAGCCACTGAGAGTATAAGCAGTTAGAAAATTTAATAGCAACTGACATTGCTGTACCATCCAAGGACATGGCCTTTTTTCTAGTAATTCACTGTTAAATTTTACAAAAGTACATGAACTTGACAACTAGGTTAAAAATGTTATTCATAAGAGTCAGACTCTGAATGTGGCAGTTTTAAGAATAAAATTTTGCTTTTTCCTCCACACGTATGCACAAGAGTGATATAATAATAATCTATGTTAAGTCTAAAAGTAGTCTGTCCATAAATATACAATAAAAATTCTAAGTGATAAGCACAAGTTTTGTACAAGGAAATGTTAAAACAGGAGTATGAAAATGATCAATATGTCACTTTAGTACATACTATCCATGCAAAAAAACTGTCCACTTTTAAAGATATCCATAGTTTTATTAGCAGGGGACTGAATCAATAGCCTTAGGTATAAATCAAATGGTAAAGAAAATGAGCTTTGAAAATATCTGAACACTGGTGTTTAAGAATTGCAAAAAGGTAGCAATATCAGGATTGGCAACCCTCTGTAATTCAGCTGACTTGTCTTAAATATTGTAGATTGTAAAACTTTTCCCTTGGAGGTCTTTCAGTAAAGAGGTTAGATAACCATGCAGGTATTCCTTAGGAACAATTCTGCCCCAAGAAGGTAAGAACATAAAATGTGAAGTTTGAAGACAGCATTCCCTGTTTTCCCAGTAAGTACAGTTACTCCTAAATGTTTACTCAATTAAACACTAAATGAAAAAAATATGAGAAATGTCTACTACCAGCAAAATACTATGCTCATTTATTTGAATATGAAGATTAAATTTAGATATCGCCCAGGTCTCAATTTTCTTCCTACACTTAGGATGATCATTTTTACCACTAGTATGAGACTTATTAAAAAAAAAAAAAAAACAAAAAAAAACTGCAGATGGCAGTTCATATGCATAAAAATAACGACAGAAAATCTAATCAAGAACTTGATCTAATTCTTTGTTTTTATTAAAACGTTTTCATGTTTCTCTACCATTAGCTGCTCCAAAATACTAGAAAAGCATTTTCTAGTATAGTTTTATACACCTTAAGATGTATAGTTTTATACACCTTAAGATGATTGGACATTGGGCCAATAAATGAAATATTATGTATAGAATACAAATAAAAGTTTACTGTACAAAATTAAGGCCTTCATATTTCATAGTTTGCTAAGGCTAAAGGAAGACTAGGTAATTTTTTAAAACCTGCATAAAAATTTCACTTTCACTTCCTCCCACTCCCAACTATTAAAATGGCCTGACAAAATGTTATCGAAACAAACACTTTAAATAACACCAAGTCCTTTAAAGACAACTATCCCAAATGTTTTTTCTTGGCATAGGTGATCTTCATGGCATGGTACAGTGTGATCTTAAATCCTTGTAAAGCATCCCTGGCAGCTCCAGCCTGTCCATCATTTTCAAATTCAACAAATGCAATGTCATGCCTCCCAGGTACCAAACGTACTTCCTTGAAACCAGGGAACCTGTAAAGAAGAAAAACTATTTCTATATATGTAAACAATTTACATATATGTAAACTGTATCTTGTAAATATATAAATGACATCAAAAACATAAGTGTCTATTCTGTGTTTTAGTCTGTTATGTACTTTTCTGATTTTGGTCCAGGAAAAGTATATCCTACCAAGAATCCTGAATAGGATGAAAGAGCCTAAAATATAACGAATACCATTATAATTAAATTATAATTAATACCATGAAAGAACTGCAGGAATAACACAAGCTAATTATATTTTTGTCATTATATCAAAGCTCCGTTTCCTGTTTTACTCATCAATTATAATTAATAATTCAAACATTAGAAGTAATTTAGCTGCTTATTTGCTAAATCTGCAGATTGGCTTCAATTCATGATTAATCCCAGACCAAATCAATGAAACTGTAAGGAATTACTGCTGTGTGATACACAAATGAATTCGACCCATGGAAGTGCTATTTGTCCTATGAGGAGGTTCCTGGAACAGTCTAGTTTATTTTAAAAAAAACAACAACAAAAAAACTTACTGATTAAACAGCATAGATAACATCATCTCATTAGTCTCTTCTGGTAAATTATTAAGGAATAAAATATAGTTTGGAGGGTAATCAGGGACCTATTGAAAAGAAAAAAGGCAACGTTAGCTTATAAGTACAAAAAGTATTATAAACCATTTGTCTCATATTAAAATCTAAACTTGAGAGAGCTACATCCCACAGTTTACTAAGGCTTATAAAATCTTACTGCATCAAAACACTAAAGCTGAAAACCAATGACAGCAGAGAAATAATATAAATCTAATAGTAACTAAGCAAAGCAGACATTCAAGTCACTTAATAAAATTTGGAAGATCATACATCTTATCAGTTTTTAAGTATTTAACAGTACTTAAAATAATATTTAAGTTTCAAGCATTTGGAGGTCACTTTTAAACGGAGGATTTTGTCATCTAGATTACATAATTACAAGATCCTAATAAAGCTAGAGAAGGCAGCAATGTCACCCCACCCCCTTAGCTGTTTACCCAAGTAATAATACTGATATTCATTTCTATATGTTATTGTTTACTACATCCCAGCATTTAAGAAAATTTAGAGCCACCACTTGGTGACTTCTAATGTATTTTGCAAGTAAATGAGATATACATAGAATCTAGTTACACACAAATAAGTAGAAAAAAGTAGTTATTAGATATTAAACTAATTATTTGATACCCCACCCTGAGGTTATGGGGATCTATAGGGACATTATCCTGTACATAAGAAAAAGCCACTCTGTCTTCAGGCTAATTTCATGTTGGGGGAGGGGAGAGGGAGATAAGATGAAGTACAAAGAATAACTTAAGTGAACTTAAGGCTTAGAGAATTAAGTGCTGGCATTTGTGAACTGGACTATCATTGTTAAAAGAGTTTAAAGAAGATAAGTAAATAATATAAGAAAATGTAAACAACTTAAAAGGAGCAAAACCTTGGTGATGCAAGGAATTCTCTGGTAAAGGGGGTCAAATATGTGACAGAAAGAAATCTAACTATGGGAGGTGAATACACAGTGTAAATATTTATATGCCTGACTGTTAAAGTGTATAGCTGAAACTTATTGGATTTCGTTAACCAATGTCATCATAAAAAAATTTTTTAAAAAAAGAATCTTGTCAGACCCCCGTATCCAAGGAAGCAAGTAGGAAACCAGGAGTACAAGTCCGTTACCTGTACTCCTTATCCTAAGCTGTGTCTGTAAAGCCCTGGGCTAAGGAAGCACTGTGTATTGTAAGGAAAACAAAAACATTTGCTCCCAGCCCTCATAGTTTAAAATCTGTCATTCTAATTCCCTCATAGATTCATTATGGGAAGTAAGAAATAAAGTCAGGTTTGGTTTTCTCCCTTCTTCAGAAAATTAAAATGTTTTGAGTGAGTTTCTACATTAAAGTGTTATATAATTTAATGTTTTATCTTACGGATGGAATTATTTTCAGTTTTTGGAGACATGCAGGTTGTTGTATATTACTGCTATTGCTTTAGTTTTATTTTAAAATATCAACACATGGAAAAAAATACTACCTGAGGATTTGGTGTTACATTTCCTTGGGTATTAGCTGAATTTGGTGTTCCCTAAACAAAAGAAATAGAGAAATAATTAAAATTTCCAATCCCTTTAAAAAGGCAGCATGTGTTTGTATTTATAATTACTGTATAAAAATAACATTAAACAGATTTCTTATTCCATTTAATTTAAAAAATTTACATCTTAGGTGACTCAAACATTCATATATTTAGTTTGTCAAATATTTCCGAAAGGTCCAGCCCTAAATTTTAAACTGTATCATAAAATTTAACCTCTAAGCTTTAAAATTATGAAGAAAAAAAATAAATAAATAAAGTAAAATAAAATAATGACGTAAGTAAATAGAAGAAAACCAAGGAGCGGTTTTTCTTACCTTTTTTTTTTTTTAACAGTTAGAAAAAAACATTGAGCATTATACTTAGTGAAACTGATTTCTAATCACTTTTAATCAAAAAGTAACTACTTTTTGGATGATAATTTCACTTTTATCTGGTATTTTTAATTAAATTTTGAATTTCTTAATTGTCCAAACAGCTTGAGTGGAGTACTTATAATTAAAGATAATATCTATAGTACTATTTATAGGCAGCAAAACTTGAGAAATAAGCTAACAGATATTAACATATTCTGTGAATGATGAACAAAATGTCATACAAATGTAAATAAAACTCGTTAAATATAAATCTGCATATGTAAATGCTTCCCTTTTAATCTGTTGCTTAAACATAAATATTGAAATTTTAGAACTCAATCAGGCCAGCTTCTTAAAAATCCACCTTTTAAACACATATACATACAAATGCACTCATGAGCCTCAAAGATCATGCCTCAGGTGAAAGACAGACATCCTATCAAACTTTTAACACCAAAAAAATACGAACTTTTGTCCATCTTACCTGACCAGGCTTTTTATTTGCAGTCATTGCTGTTTGTTCCACAGTTTTAGCTTTTTTCTTTTCCTTTTTCTTTTCTTTGTCAGCAAAAGTACCACGCATTTTAGATATTATATCAGAATCTGTTTTTGCATACTGGATTCGCTGTTTTAATTATTTGAAAACAAGTTACTTTTCGTTATGCCGAAGGCTGTTTACACCACTCATTAATATTACAAATTCCATTACTCAAATACACTACAAGGTATTTAAAACCCACCCCTAAGAAAACCTGTCAAATATACTGAGTGCCAAATGAAAATAAATTGTGGCCTATGATTCACAACCTAGACGAAGTTAGATTCAAATGTGTTTGTTAGAGAAAAACCATAGATTTTCATATGAGAAAAACAGGACTGTAAAATATCTATACCACTGCTTCTCTCCATTTATAAAACAGAGAAAACTGCTTTGGAAAGATGCCTATCCCTTAGCAGGGACTCTCAGTAGAAGGCACAAGCTATATCAATCAGCTGTGAAATGTGTTGTTTGAAATTTGTTACTTCCAAAGTTAAAGCACCAAAGATTATTAATGACTTTTAAATGAAATGACCAATAGTGGCATCAACTTAACCTTAAAATGCTTTAAAAGGAAACGAAAGGATGGCATCAAACTTGTGCAACCAAGCCACCTGCTCATTCTTTCTGGGCCACAGTTAGTAGGAACAGCATGCACAAGTGAGAATACAGGCAAGCGCTGAAAAACACTGGTCCAGGACAGCATTTCATAAACTAAAATGTGCGCTCCAATCACCTGGAAATCTTGTCAAGGAGGGAGGTTCCAATGCAGTAGGTCAGGGAGAAGTCTGAGATTCTGCACTTCTAATAAGTACAGAGGAGGTGTTGATACTACTGGTATGGGTGCCATACTTTGAGTAGCATAGCTCTGGCCGAAAGCATTATCACAGAGCTGAGATCAACACAATTAACTATCCCAAAATGTTTTCTATGAGGTACATTGTTATCTACAATGTGCAAACCACAATTTCCATTTCGAGGAAATGTTTCTTCCTTAGAACCAAAAAAGCTGAAACTCCATCTCTAATCACATCAAAACACAACAATCCTGTAAGTTATTACTTAAAATTGTCTTGTATAGCAAGAATTTGATCTCAATCTGATGGGAACAAGTGACATTTTAAAATGGTGTGGGTTTGAAAGCAGGGTACTTTTTCTTTCCTTTTATTTCAACTAGAGAGGAATATACTGGGGAAATGGGAGAGGAAGAGGCCTACCACTACACCTCTACACCACAGTTCCACTACAGTACCCACGGTGTTCCCTGGCTGGCCTGGGCTGCTGTGCTAGAGGAGCTTTTAGTGGAATTATCCCTGCAAGCAACTCTGCTAGTCTTAGGCATCATCATCTAACCAAAGATGTAGGCTGACAAAGATGTAGCTTAAGACTAACTGACTTGGTCCCAAGGATTCCATCCCAAATCCCCTGGGCCTTCACCCTTCTTTCTGACCTGAACAAATCTTGAGTGACCTTGTGTTATGTCCTTATAACAATAACCTCTAAAGATCTCTGACCTCAGCCATCGCTCTTAGCTGGCTAGTCTAAATTAGTACTTCTCAACCACAGGTGATTTTGCCCACCAGGGGACAGGTGGCACTGTTGACTGGAGACACTGCTGGTTGGCATGCTACAAGAATGTAGTGGGCAGAGGCCAGGGAGGGTGTTAAAATCTCTACAATGAACAAGACAGCCTCTCACAACCAAAAAATTACTCAATTCAACATGTTAAAAGTGCCAGTGTTTAAAAATTCTAGTCTAAATACTGGTAAGAGATCAAAGTCTACCCAAAGCTTAGAGAAGGGGCAAGATTTACATTTAAGCCAAAGGTTTCATGATAGAAGTCCTCCGGAAGATAGTTCTATTTCACTGAGGTATTTTTGGCATTAAATAACTACATGTCCTTGAATCACAGAAAATAATTTTGTTCTGAGTTCTAAATTATAGCATATTTTTTTTCACTTCTGATTTGGTATGCTGAAGTTAAAAGAGAAGAACAACTATCAGCACCTAAGTAAGTACAAACCAGATGGCTCATCTCCCTCTTCCAGGATACCAGAGATTTGACAGATATCTGCTACCTTCCTGAAGGCAGAGAAATAGACCTTCTAAAATAACCTTTAATATAAAATCAGTCTAATGGACTTTCTCCATCCGTCTAAAATAATTAGCTGGCAAGGTGAAGCCAGAGACAGCCATAGCAAATAATTTTCGCTTTCCAGTATCTGAGTAATAGGCACACTTGTCATCTTAACTCAGCAAAACAGCCCTAAGACCTTCCTGAAGGAAGAAACTGCTCCTTCATAATACCAAGAAAGACAAGCTGGTTTCAAGAAATGCCAGTTTACTGAAAATCAGGGTACGACGGCACAATCCCATGGTTTTCTGGGATGGACCTTTCTACACAGATGGTGCCCAATCACGTGGGAAGGGATGGAAAAAAGAGTTGGAGACACGATGAGAAGAAAACTTTCTCCACCGACAGAAAGTTCTCAGTCCTGAATTAAACAGTGTAGTACAGATCTGCAAACTACAGACTACAGCCAACACTGCCTGTTTTTGTAAATTAGGTCTTTGGGAGACAAAGCTACACCCACACATCTGCATGCCATCTATGGCTGATCTTCCCACTAAAAAAGAATTAAATAGTTGCAAGATATCAGCTGTCCCACAAAGCCTAAAATATTTACTATCTGGCCCTTTACAGATAGTGTGCTGAGTCCTAGTTTAGAAAAAAAAATCGCAATATTAAATATTAGGAAATTAGCTTTCAAGTCCTGATGCTGCCAGTGGTTACATTAAGGTAATCTAGAAAAACAATTCCTTTCTGTGCCTGATTCTTAATTTTTAAAGGGATTAGACCAGTGGTCTGTACTACAGACTATGGGCCAAATCCAGCCCATGGTCTGTTTTTGTATGGGCTATGAGGGAAGAACTTTCTTAAACACAAAGTATTCAACAGAAACCATGTATGGCCTATGAAGCCTAAAATATTTATTATTTGGTCCTTTATAGGTTTTGCTGACCTCTGAATTAGACCAAAGAACATCCAATCTGCTTACATTTTACAGGTTTATTGGCTCTTTCCCCAATACCCCATGTTATTATTACATTCCAGTTCCAGAAGAAAAGCACTTTGGAATCCAAACCCAAGGTACTGTATACTCATTCACACATGTAAAACCCCTTGTTCTACACTCTGTCTCCACCCTGATGTAATCCTGCACCATCTCTGACTTAGACCTATAGCCTCCTAATTACGTTAGTTCCCTACTTCCTTCTGGCCCTTCCACAAGAAAATCTTTGTCCAACGGCAAAATGTGAATCTTATTATGTCATTCCTGACATAAGCTTTCCATGTATAGTTATTTTATTTCCATTCATTGTTATCCATTAATATAACCTCTGAATTTGAATCTATAAACCTTCTTTACATCACTGCTTTATCTAGACAGCATAGCTTCTGACATGTATCATTTCACTAAGGAATTTTCTAAAACTTCAGACTGAACTTCCTCTTTGACCCGTGGTTTTTGTTGTGTGTTGTTTTACAAGTTTAGGACATTATTAATTTATTCTTTTGAGATGAGACTATTGACTATACCACCGTCAATTTAAAAAAAATAGTCTACATCTCAATGAATTTTTTGTCCATTTGAACTGTCACAAATGAAGAAATGAAGAAGTGAATTATAAACCTTACTACTGTTTCTATAAAAATAAATAAAATAAACTCAAACTCCCTCTAACACATAATTAAAAGCAGAAAGCAATGGCCATAGTTTGAAGTGTATATTTACAAATCTATTATACCATTAATAGAGATTAAAGCCAAAATAATAAGATCAACTTACCATTGGTTTACCATAAAATGGAAATCCTTGCAACTGTCTCAAAGCATTCGTGGATGAGCCCAGTTCTTTAAATATAACAAAGGCTTGTCCTCTCATCTTCATGGTCTTTAAAGCTACAATATCTACCACATGGCCAAACTGAGAAAATAGCGCATAGAGGGATCTCTTCAATTCTGTGCAAAATCGAATAGGAAACAAGTTATTTATGAATGAAACGAAGACAAAATCGTTCATAAAACAACACTGCATTGAGAACCCCTCCACCATTCACTTTTTTATTTATACAAAGTTGCACATTTTAATAACGTCATACTGTTCCTATTGCTTATCTAATTTAAAGTTATTTGAAACCATTTTATCTATGACTAAAAACATATTCAACACATTTTCAGCCATACCTATTTTTTATTTTTTAAAAACCCTAAAATCCTTACCCAAAAAGGGATAAACCATTATTTCAGACACTGAGAAAGATGACTAGATGAGAACTTTTGAAGCAGTACAACTTTTAAGACAGTAGTCATTAAACAAATTTTGGTTGTTAACAAAGATTTTTAAAAAGCACTTACCTTCTTTTTTAATTTTGTCATTCATATTGTTGATATAAATTGTATGATTTGGTCTGATATCCATGTTTTGGGCTAAACTGTTCAAATAGCCTAAAGAGATAGAAAATACTGTTGTGAACAGAGAAGATTAACTCATATTTAGTGTGGCATCAGAGCACAACACAAGGGTTATTAATTTCTCTTTCAATCCCAAGTGTCAGAAAATATCACTTTGGCAGCAGTCTTTAAAACCTCTCCAAAACTTTGCTAGCCCTCCTTTTTAAACAAAAAGAACAGTTCTCATGCTCAAAACCTGGTGGAGCACTAGTACCCAGCCAGATTTTAATAACAGTATTTTATTCAATACATTTATTTTTATACTTGTTCATTTACACATATTCATTTATGCCAAGTGAAATTATTTTTCTATCTGCCTAAAGGAGTCTTTTCTTTTTTTTTAAGCAGTTAAAAATTTGAGATTTAAAGAAAAATAAAAAAGAAACTTAGCAAATGTACACCCAGTAAAAATCATTAAGTTAGAACATGAATAAAGTTGACTTACAAAGCATTTTCATGTCTATTACTTTTTAAACACACCACCACTAACTGTCCTGACTCCAAAGTTCACTCTGACCAGCTTGAAAGAATGGAGCTCAGAGAAAGCAGTACTGCAAAATGGTTAAACGCTCAGATTCTACTACCAGCCAGACCTAAAATCAAATCCTGTCTATACTTCTTACTAGCTGCTTGACTGAGGGCAAGTTTCTTAATCTCTCAGGTTCACACATGTACCTAATAGAACTCAGAAGACTAAGTGGGATGAAGTTTCAGCAGTTCTTGCATGGGCAGTAAGTACTTAAAAGTGCTGTTATTAAAGGTTAAGGGACTTGCCTAAGGTCACATAGGTAATAAGCAGCAGGCCTGGGAATTCAGCCTCTGTCTTCTGGTCTCTTGCACTTTTCTTTCACTCTCACCTATTTCATTTTTTACACTGTTTTCAGTTGCAAATTCTGACCTTGCTTTATTTCCTTGGATGCCCCCACATATTCCTTAACTTCACAAATAATTACACTCATTGTACGTAAACAGCACAGGACTATTGACAATGGAAGAGCCTATAGACAGGGACTGTACTTGTGCGGATAAAAGGTGAAAAGTATGCTTCTCAGAGACCGGCGACCCCCCCTAAACTGAAACCTGGAGGACTGGAGTAGCCAAGACGACTAGAGGAAAGTGATAGAGAGGTCTAACTGAAGGCAGAGAGATCAGAGGGGAGACTCCAGCAATAACTCGTGCGAGGTTTGATGGTGGCCTGGGCCAGTACGGGGGTACCGGGAGAAGCCTCCCAATCCAAAAGAGGGCCTCTAATCTAGAAGGAACTTGAAAGCGCACAAGGAGCTGTAAATTAACATAAGCGAAGGGACATTAATTATCCTTCACTCCGTACGCGAGAGCCTACCTACTCTCCAGACACAGGCACATTCGCCCAAGGCTCCAGCCCCCAAGTCCAAGTACGCAGCCACGTGACCCCGGCCCCAACCCGGCCCACTGCAGACAAGGCTCTTAAGTTCGGGGACCTTGCTGGACTAGCGCGGCAGTCTCCAACCCTCCCTGGCCCACTAGCAGAGCCTTCTGCGAACCCTGGGCGGGATGCGTCCCGTTCCCATCCCGCCTCGTCCACTCCCGACTGCTACAGGGCAGCACTGGGTACTGCGGCAACCGGCAGCTGGGATAACCGAGACAGCGAGGGAGAATTCGCTCAAACTCACCTGAGGCCGGCGGCGTGAACCGTAAGAACCGAAAGGCGGAAACGCAGCCAGAAAGCGGAAGTAACGCTACAACGAGCCTCAATCGAGCGCCGAGAAGTCGAAAAGCCGAGCCGGAATAGATCGATGCCCTGCGGCTGCAACTGGGAACCTCTCTACGCATGCGTACACCTGGCAGCCAGAGAGAAGGGGCGGGAAGAGGAAATGGGGGACGGCGAGGGAGTGGGGGCTTGTGAGAACACTGTGGGGCGGGGGGGGCGGGGAAACGAATCTTGGGGCGGTGGAGTGAGGGGATGGGGACGGCAGTGATTCATTTCCCCACCACGACTTTGCGTGGCTTTACCCCACACAAGATGTTTTTCAGCTTTCCAAATACTATATAGTTTTACAGGTGCACCTACCCCCTCACCCCACTCCCCGCCCCCATGCCCGCTCTCAGGGCAGGGGTCTCTGGTTTGGCCCTTCCCTGGGTTCTGGCTGCCCAGTTCAACATCACATTCAGAGCAGCCAGTACCCCACAAGTCTCCGAATCCTGGGACTCCTAGGCAACTCTCTAACACTCTGCTGATGAGCTTGACCTAGAGGCAGATCAGTTTGAGGGCCCAAAGCGAGGAAGTTAATTTCTTTGGCCTTCTCACCTGATTAGGTAACAACACTTGACTAATAACCAAACAACTGTAAGATCATCGGCCTAAACTAACTCAAAAAAAGCCCATTAATTTCCTATCATCCTTCCCACCCTCATATCGCCCCACAAATGCCTAGATTGTTCTAGGGTAATACAGTTGTTGGTGTTTAGGCAAACTGAATGGGAATTCTAAAAACTACTTGCATCCATTCATCCATTCATCAAATATATGTAAAGCATCATCTGAAATAGTTGTTACGAGCCAGGGAGAATCCAGTCTTATATCTTCCTCTTAACTAATCTCTCTGAACCTCAATTTCCTCTTCTGTAAACTAGAGATCATAATAACACCTCCTTCTAGAGTTGTAAGTGAGCTAAATGTAAGGTGATTAGACACAAAATAAATGGTTCATAAATGTTATTTCTAAATGCTAGCTATGATCTGGACATATGGATGAAGGAGTCAAATAGGTCGGTCTTAAAAGAAGAGGATTTTAAAAGATCACCTAAAGTTGCAACATCTGGAAGAAAACGTAAGCTTCTTGAGGGTGAAGAATTCTGTTTTGTTTATTCAAGTACCCTTAGTTACAAAAAAAGTAGCTGAAAATACGTATGTATTGAATGAATGAAGCTTCACGGAAAAAAATGAGACAACACTACCAAATGTGATGTCTTATGAAGATGTACATAAGTGTAGGGGGAAATGTTAATCACAGAAAAGCATTATTTTACTATATGGATATAAAAATTAGAAGAAATGTAAATAGTTCTGTCTCAGTTAAGGAATTATGAGAGAATATAAATAGAATATTCTTAATATGTTAAAAGTAATATAAACTAAATAAAAACAATTTATGAATAACAAAGGGCAAGCTATCCTGCCTGTTAATATTGGTGTCTGACCAATTAACTCTGTTTGACGGCTAAATTATTTTTCTGAAAATAAGCTATAACCTGGCTGTATTATGCAAGTCATTCTAGCTGAAAGCATACCATAAGTATTAAAAGAGGATAAGGTGGAACTTTGTGAAGAAACTCTACCTAGAAAGAAAAAAAACAACAGAGAAAACACAGAGACTTAAAGACAGACTACACATTGTGTCCCATTAACCACTAAAAAATGGCTACTATACATTACACTGTGAGAAGGAAATTATGTAATGCCTACTCAGTGGCCATGATATGCATGCTATTCTCCTAGGTTCTTCTAAAGAGAGCCAGTGCATTTTCTGTCCTTGGGCAGTTGTTCTGGGCTTTCCAATGGCCTGTTAATGGTCCTCAATTACTTCCTGAATAATTTTGAGAAACTAGTAATTGACAGCATGACTGGGAAAGAAATAAAAGGGAGAAAGGAGCCCTTCTGGTCTTGTGAGAAGCCTTGAGTGCCCTGGTTATATAAGAGCATTATAACATCTAAACTTTGGTCAGATGCATGGTAAATAGCCATTATTCCTTTATAATCAAATTCACCTCTTGAGGGTTATATCAGGAATCAGATGTTTCCAAAACTCACATGTTTTTAAAAAGAAGAGAAACAAAAAGGGGTTTACTTGGAGTTCTGCCCAGTCTCTCATATTTCAGTTAGGCAACATGATTTACTTTTCTATAAAATAGGTTTGTTTTTTAGATTTTTTTTTATCGAACTAAACCCAGAGGCAGCACTATAACACTATAGCCAAGCTTTATGTATCTACTGTTGATGAAACTCGCTTATTTTAGGGATAGCAGAAAAATTACTACAAACAGATGAGAATAAAACTATGTCGAGACATCTAAATTACTATATCAGGATGATAACTAAGGTGGCTCTTATTGACTCTGAACACGCATATATTTTCCTACCTTATCTACATGTGTTTTATGTTTCTCATTAAATGTTTTCGGTATCTTGCTGCAGTAGTTTTGAGACGGGGCCATGTTTAAGGGAAAATGCATCATAAAACTGCGATGGATAAATTTGGCTTATTTATGTTACATAGAACCACAGAATATACAACAGTTTGTATCTTCTTTCATTAAGAAATTTATATAGAGTGAAATTTTCACAACAAGCATTGCACAATTCTGGACATTATTGTTGAGCACCAAATCAGGTTTACCTTTTCCTAGTTGGTTTGATTTATGTTGGCTGAAACTTCCTAAAAAAAGTTCCCAACCCCTGCAACTCAGAGAGGAAATAATTTTGTGCAATTATTTCCTTTCATTTCACTTCAATTCTTTTTTATTCTTTTTTGGAAATATTCTTGTTTTTAGGGGAAAGAAAAGGGACTATAACTTCTGATATGTACTACTTTAATATTAATGGGGTGTCTTTCACATAAACAAATATATTATCCTCTCCACAAAATAGATGGCATTTGAGATAGGCTATGATAATGTAACCGCTGGAGTGAAGTGAAATCCGGTGTATCCCCAGAGGTGTACGGGAGGAGGAGGCAGAGGATGGTAGTGGTGGTGACGTTGCGTGTTGTCCCTTGGTTCTTCCTCGCCGACGCAGCAAAGAATTACAGGTTGGCAAGATTTAGAAAAAAGTAAGATTTATTGAAAGTATGTTTTAGAAGGAGATGGGCCACGCTAAAGAAGGCAGCTGCTCTGTGACTCCTCCCCAAAGGAAGGAGCAAGTTTCCAGCCAGAAGCGATGTAACAATGCAGAAATGAGAAGGTCTGTTTATATTTGGGCCATGATGGGAGGTCCTAGCTGCTTGGTAGGTGAAGTCACCTTGAGTGACAGTTGGCTGCTATATAATGCTTTGCCTACTGCTCATGTACTTACCCAGAATTCGGTCTGTTATAATTAGATTCATGAACTTCTAGGCATAAACATAGTATTATAATGATGGTATAATGAAGCCGAAGTTATAGGCAGTACTTTCTGTGCATGCATTTGTAGCTGGTTTAGCCAGCAGCTTTTACGGCATATGTGCTCTAGGATTTGGGGTAATTTATAACCCTAAAAGGGAGGTATTTCTGGGAGTTCCTTAAGGAAGGTCTTCAAGGGACGTTTGTATGGTTACAGAGCTGGGCCTTCACTCCTGTTGCTCATGCCTGACTAACTACCTAACAATAATGTATGTATTCTGCAAAGTTTGAAAGCAATAGTTTGCCTTTGAAGACCTGAGAA